AGAGCAAAGGAAGAAGGGAAGTAGAAAAGGAAGAAAGGAGAGAAAGAGGAAGGAAAAGAAAAAGGGGGGAAGGAAGGAAAGAAGCAAAGGGAAGGAAGGAAAGAGGGAGGGAAGGAAAGAGAGAAGGGAGGACGGAAGCAAAAAGCGAAGGAAGGAGGGAGGTAGAAAAGGAAGAAAGGAGAATAAGAGGAAGGAAAAGAAAGAGGGGGAAGGAAGGAAAGGAGAGAGAAGGAAAAGAAAAAAGAGGAAGGAGGGAAAGAGGGAGGGAAGGAAAGAGAAGGAAGGAAGAAAGGAGAAAAGGAAGAAGGAAGAGAAGGAAGAAAGAAAGGGGGAAGGAAGGAAGGAGAGCAGGAAAGAAAAGGAAGGAAAGAGGAGGGAAGGAAAGAGAAGGAAGAAGGAACAAAAAGTGAAAGAAGGAAGGAGAAAAGGAGAAAGGAGAGAAAGAGGAAGGAAAAGAAAAAGGGGGAAGGAAGGAGAGAAGGAAGGAAGGAGGGAAAGAGGAGGAAGGAAAGAGAGAAGGATGGAAGCAAAAAGCGAAAGGAGGAAGGAATGAGGTAGAGAAGGAAGAAAGGAGAAAAAGAGGAAGAAAAGAAAGGGAAGGAAGGAAAAGAGAGAAGGAAAGAAAAAAGGGAAGGAAAAAGGGAGCAAAGGAAAGAGGGAGGGAGAAAGAGAAGGAAGGACGGAAGCAAAAAGAAGGAAGGAAGGAGGAGAAAAGGAAGAGGAGAGAAGGGAAAGGAAAAGGGGGAAGGAAGGAAGGAAAGAGGTAGAGAAGGAAGGAGAGAAGGAAAGAAAAAAGGGAAGGAAGGAAAGAGCAAAGGAAGGAGGGAAAGAGGGGGGAAGGAAAGAGAGAAGGACGGAAACAAAAAGCGAAGGAAACAAGGAGGTAGAAAAGGAAGAAATAAGGGAAAGGGAAAGAAAAAGGGGGGAAGGAAGGAAAGAGGTAGAGAAGGAAGGAAGGAGAGAAGAAGAAAAGGGAAGGAAGGAGGGAGGGAAGGTTGGCCACAGTAATGTGTGGCAGGTACAGCTAGCAGACAATAATATTATATAACAAAAACAAGTATTTTTGGTGGGTGCTTGTACTGAAATTTGGGAGCATCTTACAATTGATGGTGTCTTACCCTTGAAGAAATACAGTCGTCGCTGACTTGCTCATGAACAAATGCGACAATAGCTTCCCTTGTTGTCGAACGTGGTCTTTGTTTGAGCAAGAAAGCTATGTGGGGGAGGGGACAGGGCGGGAATTGTACGGCGTTGCTTCATTTTCCTCTTTTTCTTTCTTTGCAGCATATGATAAAATACCGATATATACCCTTCACGCACGGCAAGAGGAAATATAAAGGGAAGGAAGAGGTGGGGAAGGCCTTTGCGAGCTAGGATCTCCCCCTTGAGCCTGATGACCAACTCCTTATACATTGTAATTAAAAAGACCGGTTTTGAGCCATTGTAACGATGCCTCTTTTCTTCCTACTAAATCAGAGAGGAATTAACGTTTTTTTTAATTGTGGGCCAAGCGTCGTCCCGCCTTTAAGTATTGCAGATTTGTATTGGATTTCTTCATTGGAGCCAGTTGCCAAAAGCGGTTTCTCTTTTTCTGGGAGGCTCATACAAGCCACCCAACGTTTTTATGGGTACAGATCTCTCATAGGAACTCTATATATTCATCCTCTTCAGGGTTTGGTGGCTAGTTTCACCCGTCTTTTTGAGAGCCACGCACATCACAAGGCATAGGAAAACGTGGAAATTTATATACCGTATATACTCAAGTATAAGCCATCTGAATATAAGCCGAGGGTGGGAAATGCAGTAGCTACTGGGAAATTCCAAAAATAAAAATAGATCCCAATAAAATTACATTACTTGAGGCATCCGTAGGTTGAATGTTTTTGAATATTTACTGTAAACAAGCTCTGTAAGTGGAAAAGTAGGATAAGCAGAAACAATATGGCATCAACAATAATTTAGTATATTGTCAAAGGCTTTTATGGCTGGAATCACTGGCTTGTTGTAGGTTTTTCGGGCTATATGTGTCAGGAGTCAATTTCTGACGGCATGAAGACATCATAAATTCCCTCCGTGACATCCTGACTGAATCATCCTGGCTGCCTCAGTTCTCTCCCTGTGACATTTTGAAGCCAGCAGAGTCCACTGGAAGCCTTGTATTGGAACTTGTGAAGCAACAAGCTCTAATAAGGAAACTGAGAAGAGGGGGGAGATGGGCAGGAAAGGGGTATAAAAGGAAGTGGTGGGGGGAAAAAGTCAGTAGTGTCTTTCTTTGCTGCAGAGATACAAGCAATATATCCATTTCAAAGCAAAACCGGCTTGTGAGTGGTCATTTAATATTGCTATATAGATCCTACAGTCTTACAATATGGCCATGTTCTCTCCTGACTTTTTGCCTGCATTTATGCTTGCCATAGATGCAGGTGAAACGTCAGGAGAGAATGCTTCTAGAACATGGCCATATAGTCTGGAAAACCTACAACAACCCAGTGATTCCATGCTTGCCATAGATGCAGGTGAAACGTCAGGAGAGAATGCTTCTAGAACATGGCCATATAGCCCAAAAAACCTACAACAACCCAGTGATTCCATGTTTGCCATAGATGCAGGCGAAACGTCAGGAGAGAATGCTTGTAGAACATGGCCATATAGCCCAAAAAACCTACCACAACCCAGTGATTCCATGCTTGCCATAGATGCAGGTGAAACGTCAGGAGAGAATGCTTCTAGAACATGGCCATATAGCCCAAAAAACCTACCACAACCCAGTGATTCCATGTTTGCCATAGAGGCAGGCGAAACGTCAGGAGAGAATGCTTGTAGAACATGGCCATATAGCCCAAAAAACCTACCACAACCCAGTGATTCCATGCTTGCCATAGATGCAGGCGAAACGTCAGGAGAGAATGCTTCTAGAACATGGCCATATAGCCCGAAAAACCTACCACAACCCAATAATTTAATGATAATAATACAGCAGTCTCACTCATCTGACATAAACAGGTCAGCAGAATGTCGGATAATCGGAAATGTCGGATAATATGGAGACTCCTACCGTTACCCATCCGAAGCGGATGGGTTACCCATCTAGACACCTAGAATATAGGCATGGGCAATCCATGGTTCTAAATGGTTCTAAAGAACTTACAAAACTAAAGTTCTGGTGGCGAAAACTAGGGGGCACTGGTGCTTTGCTTCTACAGTGTTGGTAAAGTTCTGGAGGTGAAAATTTCAGAACTCTAACAAAACTTTCAAAATTTCATTAATATTTCATTATTGGCAATTTCCATGACCGAACCAATTAGGAACTGCCACATATAATGAAATTTTGAAAAATTTGTTCTGAAATTTTCACTATCAGAACTTTACCAACACTGTAGAAGTTTTCACCACCGAAAAACCTACAACGACCCAGTTCACCAACTGTTAGGAACTATGGGAGCTGAAGTCCAAAACACCTGGAGGTCCAAAGGTTGGGAACCAATGATATATAGAAACTTATCTATAGATCTATAGGGCCACTTCCAAGGGAACAAAAATGCACATATAAAGTTAATATATTTAGATATACACAGAAAAAGTCAGGAAATTTGGTGGGTTTGAAAGAGCCATAAAAACAAGGCAGAGATGAAATATCTCCTTTCCCTCCCCCCATCCCTTTTGTTGGAAAAGAAAACACACTGTTAAGGGAGGGGAAGAGGAGAGAATATATCACGCATAGCCTGAAAAACCTACAACGACCCAGTTCACCAACTGTTGGGAACTATGGGAGCTGAAGTCCAAAACACCTGGAGATCCAAAGGTTGGGAACCAATGATATATAGAAACTTATCTATAGATCTATAGGGCCACTTCCAAGGGAACAAAAATGCACATATAAAGTTAATATATTGAGATACACACAGAAAAAGTCAGGAAATTTGGTGGGTTTGAAAGAGCCATACAAACAAGGCGGAGATGAAATATATCTCTCTCCTCCCGTCCCTTTTGTTAGAAAAGAAAACACACTGTCAAGGGAGGGGAAGAAGAGAGCGAGAATATATCACGCATGGCACTGACTTTTTCAGCTCAAAAAAGGGACGAAAAACTTGGCTTATCTTCCAGTATATACGGTAAAAAAAAATCAATATTTTATTTAGTTTTTGTGGTGAAGAAGAGGCTGGTGTTTGGCTCTTTCATAACAATTCCATATTATTCTTAGCTAAGACGGTTTTGGTTTTTTTTAATCGCTAAATACCTGGAATTATAAATATATTCGGTGGCCATTGACATTTCTTTGATACCTATTTTTTTTTCTAAATTAACTTAGGTTTGTTTCATGTGACGTCCTTTCCAAGAGACTTTGCCACGGCAGATGAGACTTTGTGGGTTTTAATCTTCTATGGAGAGAAATACGATCTGCATGTATCAATTTTTTTTGATGTTATAGAGCTATAAACAATTTTGACTTTTTAAAAATTCCAACTTTATTAAAAGACTGCGTCCCTTTTTGGGGGGCTTCGGAGGTCTTTATAAAACCAACAAACCAGGATTAAGTGTTGTCCTTCATCTCCCCCACTTCCTCACCGCATGTTTGGTATCTGTACATTATTTGGGATTGGCCTTAAAGAGAACTAGTGTGCACTATTACACTGCTTCTTAATCTGCAAGTCCAAACACCAAATGATTTGGCTTTTTATGAAGTACAGCTGAAGCATTTTATGCAGAGTGCGCTGTAAACATTGCAAGTTCCGTGTAATGCCTAAAACAACCACTAGGCGGGATTCAGAAACCTTTTCTGAATGCCACCCTGTGGCTGTTTTAGGCATTACACAGAACAGTGTTTACAGTGCACTCTGCATAAGATGCTTCAGCTGTACTTCATAAAGACCTAAATCAGCCTGTTTAGGAAGCCTACAAATGCAGGTTTGTTATCACTAAATATTTGATTTGCATACCTATTTTATATACCTACTAGCTTGGGTAGTGATGCTCCATTTTTTAAATTTTTAGAATATTCATAAGGTTGTGGATGAACTACAACTCGCATCATGCCAGGTTAACCCCGATACTCCATAAACACAAGTTCTGTGTAATGCCTAAACAGCCACTAGGTGGCACTCAGAAACTGTGTTTACAGTGCACTCTGCATAAGATGCTTCAGCTGTACTTCATAAAGACCTAAATCAGCCTGTTTAGGAAGCCTACAAATGCAGGTTTGTCATCACAAAATATTTGATTTGTATATCTATTTCATATACCTACTACCTTGGGTACACAGTGATGTCCAATTTTTGTGTTACTAGCAGATAGGTTCCGAACTATGAGGGTCATCCAGAAAGTAAGGTTACAATATTTTTTAAAATACAAAGATTGAATATATTTTAATACAATTTACATGGATTGTAGCATAGATACTACATTCTTTTTCCACATAATCACCATACAGTTCAATACATTTTGTCATCTATGGGACAAGGTTTTGATGCCCGTGTCATAGAAGTTTCCGCCGCCTTTGTCGGCCAGTTCGTCACTTCGATTTTCATCTCCTCCTCATCGTCGGATTCATCTCCTCCTCATCGTCGGAAAAGTGTTTCCACCCAGGTGTTCCATCAGTTTAGTGAGCAGATGATAGTCACTGGGTGTGCGATTGGAGGGAAACGGAATGAGGACGCTTATCTCTAACCTTCACCCACAATACCAGTCGATAAGCTACTGACGACTGGCACTGCTCGTTCACTTCCGTTGGCTTCCCACTACACAGCAGTGATACCAACTTCCCGAGAAAATTCCCTGCAAGAGCTACGTGCCTTTTAGCCTTACTTTCCAGATATTCCTTATACAGCGCAAACGCCGCACTTGGAGGGAAACAGAATGAGGATGCTCATCTCTAACCTTCACCACAACGCCAGTGGATGAGCTACTGACGACTGGCACTGCTCGTTCACTTCCGTTGGCTTCCCACTACACAGCAGTGATACCAACTTCCCGAGAAAATTCCCTGCAAGAGCTACGTGCCTTTTAGCCTTACTTTCCAGATATTCCTTATACAGCGCAAACGCCGCACTTGGAGGGAAACAGAATGAGGATGCTCATCTCTAACCTTCACCACAACGCCAGTGGATGAGCTACTGACAACTGTCACTGCTTGTTCACTTCTGCTGGCTTCCCGCTACATGACAGTGAAACCTTCCCCTGCAGAATTTCCCCACAAGAGACACGTGCCTTGTAACCTTACTTTCCAGATACCCCCTGTACTTGGAGGGAAACAGAATGAGGATGCTCATCTCTAACCTTCACCACAACGCCAGTGGATGAGCTACTGACAACTGGCACTGCTTGTTCACTTCTGCTGGCTTCCCGCTACATGGCAGTGAAACCAACTTCCCCTGCAGAATTTCCCCACAAGAGACACGTGCCTTGTAACCTTACTTTCCAGATACCCCCTGTACTTGGAGGGAAACAGAATGAGGATGCTCATCTCTAACCTTCACCACAACGCCAGTGGATGAGCTACTAACGACTGGCAGTGCTCGTTCGCTTCCATTGGCTTCCCACTACACAGCAGTGAAACCAACTTCCCCTGAGAAAATTCCCTGCAATAGTTACGTGCCTTTTAGCCTTACTTTCCAGATATTCCTCATACAGCGCGAACTTTGCACTTGGAGGGAAACAGAATGAGGACGATCATCTCTAACCTTAACCACAACGCCAGTGGATGAGCTACTGACAACTGGCACTGCTCGTTTGCTTCTGCTGGCTTCCTGCTACACAGCAGTGATACCAACTTCCCCCACAAAATTTCCCCACAAGAGACACGTGCCTTGTAACCTTACTTTCCAGATACTTGGGGGGAAACAGAATGAGGATGCTCATCTCTAACCATCACAAGGCTAGTCGATGATCTACTAGCGACTGGCACAGCTCATTCACTTCTGCCGTCTTCCCACTATACGGCAACGATAGCAGCTTCTCCCCGAGAAAATTCCCCACAAGAGCTACATGCCTTGAAACTTTACTTTCCGGATATCCCTCGTATATGGGCAGGCAATAAACCCCCGAGAGTTTGGCTGCACAGTTTTATTTCGGGAATTTAACATGAAAATCAAGTCCTGCACTTTACTGGACGGAAGTTGTACTCTTGCCAGCTCTGAATCCTTCACGTTACTGGTCTGCCAGCCCAGCGCTCTCACTGATAGTGTCGCAAATAAATCAGCTTCTGTGGACGGAATTTTTCTCTACACAGTGGGCACTCAGCCTATGACAGAGGAAAAAAATAAATAAGCATAAAATAAAATATTTCTAGCTCGTTTCCTTTCTAAATGTTGCCTGTTTTGTGGGACTGAAGCCTGCAAGGGTGACTTCTGCTTGGGTTTTTGTACATCACTTTTCCACCATCACAGACGACTAATGCAATGACAAAGTTCCTATGCTTGTCTCACTCATACCAACACAAGCTGGAAGCAACTGCGGCCCTCAGAAGTAGTTTTGAACTGTACCTCCCATAATCCTTTGCCTCTATGTTGGAAGCTGCGAGCTAAAAACATTTAGGGCGACACAGGTTCCGATTCCCGACCTACACCTGACAAGGGCGCCAAACTCATTTTCATTTAGGGCCACATCAGCGTGATGGTTGCTTTCAAAGGGCCGTGGAATCCATTGATGGAAGGCCAACTATACTGATTGGTTTGTTTGTTTACTGTATTTGTATCCCGCCTTTCTCAGCCAATCGGCGACTCAAGGCGGTTTCCAACAAATCAGTATACATAAAACATAATATAGATAAAAAAGATTAAACAGTTTAAGACATCACAAAAGCAATACAAACAACATCATCAGTGTCTCGTTATTCTCCAGCATTGTCCAGTTCCATTGTCAGGTCATTCGATTTCCTATATTAGCTGTAAACACTTGCTCAAATAGCCACGTTTTAACTTGCCTCCGAAATGTCAAGAGGGAGGAGGGAGCAGACCTGATCTCCCTAGGGAGGCCGTTCCATAGCCGAGGGGCCACCACTGAGAAGGCCCCGTCTCTCGTCCCCACCAAACGTGCTTGTGACGAAGGCGGGACCGAGAGCAGGGCCTCCCCAGATGATCTTAGAGTTCGTAAGGGGAGATACGTTCGGACAGGTAAGTTGGGCCAGAACCGTTTAGGGCTTTTTAGGCCAAAGCCAGAACTTTGGATTGGGCCCAGTAGCAAACTGGCAGCCAGTGGAGCTGGCGCAACACAGGGGTTGTATGTTCCCTGAGCGCCACTCCTGTTAACAACCTGGCTTCCGTTCATTGAAGCTTCCGGACCGTCTTCAAAGGCAGCCCCACCTAGAGCGTGTTGGAGTATAGTCTAAATGGGATGTAACCAGAGCGTGGACTACCGTGGCCAAGTCAGACTTCCCAAGGTACGGGCACAGCTGGCGCACAAGCTTTAGCTGTGCAAATGCTCCCCTAGTCACCGCCGAAACCTGGGGTTCCAGGCTCAGCGATGAGTCCAGGGTCACACCCAAGCTGCGAACCTGCGTCTTCAGGGGGAGTGCGGCCCCATCCAGCACAGGCTGTAACCCTATGCCCTGTTCGGCCTTACGACTGACCAGGAGCACCTCTGTCTTGTCTGGATTCAATTTCCATTTGTTTGCCCTCATCCAGCCTGTCACAGAGGCCAAGCACCAGTTCAGGACCTCGACAGCCTCCTTAGTAGCAGGTGGGAAGGAGTGACAGAGTTATCATCTGCGTACAGATGACACCGTACCCCGAAACTTCCATCTGAACATGAGGAAGAACTTCCTGACTGTGAGAGCCATTCAGCAGTGGAACTCTCTGCCCCAGAGCGTGGTGGAGGCTCCTTTGGAAGCTTTTAAACAGGGGCTGGATGGCCATCTGTCAGGGGTGATTTGAATGCAATATTCCTGCTTCTTGGCAGAATGGGGTTGGACTGGATGATGGCCCAGGAGGTCTCTTCCCACTCTAGGATTCTAGGATCTCCCCCAGCAGCTTCATGTATATGTTGAACAACATGGGAGACAGTATTGATCCCTGAGGACCCCACAAGACAAAGGATGTGGGGTTGAACAGGGGTATCCCAACCACACCTTCTGGGTGCAACTCTCCAGAAAGGACCAGAGCCACTGTAAAACTGCCCCCCTAAACCCATTCCAGCGAGGCATCCCAGAAGGCTACCATGGTTGACGGTATCGAAGGCCGCTGAGAGGTCCAGCAGAACCAACAGGGACACACTCCCTCTGTCGAGCTCCCGGCGTAGATCATCCACTAAGGTGACCAAGGCTGTCTCGGTACCATGCCCCGGCCTAAAGCCAGACTGTACCTAGTTGTCGGTGTTCCTTAATTTTTACCCAAATTGCATCCCCAGGTGTTCTTTTGTGGTCTTGGGATGATGGGAATTACACTCCAACAGCATTTGTGGCTCCATGGCAATATTTCACACCCTGGGGGTTGAGACCCCTGGGAGGGGGTCAATAGGGGGTTTCAGAGGGGTTGCCAAAGACCATCATAAACATATATTTCTGATGGCCTTGGGAATCCCTTTGGAAGAGAAGGATGAAGATCTCTCTGCCTGTCCTTCTCTTCCTTTTTGGAAACAGGCGGCAAATCCTCCCACCTAAAGTCCTTCTCCGCTGTGATTGGCCAGCCTCTCAGCCAAGGAGAGAGCTGTTATTTATTTATAGCATTTCTATTCCGCCCTTCTCCTCACCCCGCAGGGGACTCGGGGCGGATTAGAGTGTACACATATATGGCAAATATGCAATGCCAATTTTTGACATACAAACATATACAGACATACACAGAGGCTATTTCACTTTTTCTGGCCGCCAGCGTCCATCTGTGATGCTGATGAAGCACTTCCGCATTCCCCGCATGCTTCCCCGCTGTACCTACAATTCCTATAAATCATGCCGAATTCTCCCCAAACCTTGCTGGTCAATTCCTCTGTTTACTGTGCGCCACTGAAAAGGATACGAAAAGGTTAAGGGAGAAGCAGTGGGCGGGGTCATGCAAATTCCACACCAATGGAGAAAGTCAGAACACTGGGATGTCTGTGGTGGAGGAAACACATAAAATTTGGGGTGACATTGTCCCTGAATGAAAGCTCCACTTGGGTGGTGGGCAAGTGTGGTGCTTGTGGAGGACATTGGCAGTGCTCTTGGACATGTTCATGCGCTCGCTATGACCTGAAATGTCAATGGAGGGAGGGCCTTCGGTGTCTCCTGAGCAGTGGGAGCTGTTTGAAGTGGGAGCCTGTCTGCTGAGTGTCTATAGAACCTGCTGGAGCTCAGTGAGGTCTCTGTTCATGCCGTAGATATTAAGATGCGTAGTGTCCTACTGGCCAGAGTTCAACTATTAGAGAAGGTCCATGTTTACCTTTGTGTTGCACCAGTGAGTGATGCATTCCCAGCAAAAGAGGTGTCCGCACGGGGTGGCCGTGGTATGCTGCCGCTCCTCTAAGCACAGCGTACAGTAAGAGCTGCGGTTAAGGAGCCTCTCCTCGCCCTGAGTCCTGAGGGAAACAAGGTACGAAATAATTACAGTATATTCTGGCGTATAAGACTACTTTTTAACCCAAGAAAATCTTCTCAAAAGTCAGGGGTCGTCTTATATGCGGGTGTAGTCTTATGCATGGGAGTTGTCTTAACTCTATATTTTAACTGGAAAAGTTGGGGGTCGTCTTATACGCCCAGTCGTCTTATATGCCGGAATATACGGTATTCTTTTCTTCTGTTTAGCTTGGCCCTGTGGATTAAAATCATCTGCAATCAATGGGATAGCAAAGGCATTCGACACAGTCAATCGCAGGTGCTCTCTGGACCATTCTCCAAAAAATTGGACACCCTGACGAATTTGTGAACATCCTGTGGCTCCTCCACAATGACAGGATGGCAGCGGTCTTGGACAGCAATGGCTCCCCAAGTGACCTATTGTCCTGAGTTGCCCTTCCAAAACAGCCTTTAGACAACTTTAAAAGTAAAAGGAAAATGCTTTGCTTCAGCAAACACAAAGGATAAGCAAATGCAATGGAAAAGTGCACAAGTAAGCAAGGAAGTCTTAATCCAGACACAAAGTAAACCAAGTCCCAAAAGAAAGAGCAGTCTTCCATCAGACAACGGACGATGAACAAAGTCCTTAGCAGCAGATACAAAACAGATTCCACTGAAGTGAAAACATCAATATGAGGGTCGTTGTTATCAGTGAAAGCCGACTGCTCCTGCTACTGGGGTGCTAGGGCGTCTCCCAATTAGCTCAGTGTTTTTAGCAGGTATCCTAGCAGAACATTGGGACCACCTTGACTGCCAGAGTCTTTGCAGTTTGATCTTTAAATCCTCTTATCGTGCCAGTTTTTCCAGTTGCGTCCCTTCAATCCTGCTGTCATCTGGGATTGCAACATCGACAATCCATACTTTGATTATTATTATGTCCAAAAGACACTTTAATAGTAGTAGTAGTAGTAGTAGTAGTAGTAGTAGTAGTAGAGTGCTGTGGACTCATCTTGTTGTGTTTCATATAATAATAATTTATTGTTGTTGTTGTTGTTGTTGTTGTTGTTAGAAACACAAGATCATCATCATCATCTTTAATTACTTATTAATCGCCCTCCATCCCGCTCCAGGCGATTTACATTGCAGAAATTATACAGGATAAAACACATACATACAAAGATGAGTCCACAGAACTCTACTACTACTACTCCGGGGGTTGGTGCTCATCTCCATTGCTAATCCGAAGAGCCAGGTATTGTCCATAGACACCTCCAGGGTCATGTGACTGCATGGAGCACCATTACCTTCCCGTTGGAGCGGCACCTTTGCATGTTTTCGAACTGCTACGTTGGCAAAAGCTGGGGCTGACAGCGGGAGCTCACGCCACTCCCTGGATTCGAACCTCTGACCTTTCGATCAGCAAGTTCAGCAGTTTATTATTAAAGTGTCTTTTGGACATCATCATCATCATCATTATTATTATTATTTGAAACACAACAAGATGTGTCCACAGCACTTTATTATTATTATTATTATTATTATTATTATTATTATTATTATTATTTTACTGACACAAACGCACAGTATGTCACAGCAAACGAGATCTAGATGCTGGATTTCGTATCACAAAATCATTATTATTATTATCATTATTATTATTTGTATCTGGAGATGAGACAGGTAAAGGTAAAGTTTCCCCCCTGACATTAAGTCCAATTGTGTCCGACTCTGGGGGTTGGTGCTCATCTCCATTGCTAATCCGAAGAGCCGGTATTGTCCATAGACACCTCCAGGGTCATGTGGCCAGCATGACTGCATGGAGCGCCGTTACCTTCCCATTGGAGCGGTACCTAGTGATCTACTCACATTTTGAACTGCTAGGTTGGCAGAAGCTGGGGCTAACAGCGGGAGCTTGCACCACTCCCTGGATTCAAACCTGTGACCTTTCAATCAGCGAGTTCAGCAGTTTAAGATACACACGTGGAAATGGGATTAAACACTAATTGTATTTAAAAATACTGTATATACTCGAGTATAAGCCTAGTTTTTCAGCCCTTTTTTAGGTTGAAAAAGTCCCCTTTGGCTTATACTTGAGTCAAGGTTATTTATTATTTTACTCTATTATTATTATTATTATTATTATTATTATTATTATTTCATTTATTATTTTATTCTATTTATTATTATTACATTTATCATTTCACTCTATTATTATACATTTATTATTTCACTGCATAATTGCTGTTATTGCGACATTCATTATTTTACTCTTTTTATTGTTGTTATTACATTTATTCTGTTATTATTATTGGAAGGATACGTCAGCACATTTACATTGAAGAAGGTAAACAATCCTTTCATCAGAGTTGGACAGTCTTATCTTAAATTACCATTTTAGTAAATATGCAAAAATACATAACCTATTGATTCCTCAATTAGTGTAATTTAATTGGTATCTATTTTTATTTTGCAATTTACCCGTAGCGGCTGCGTTTCCCACCCTCGGCTTATACTCGAGTCAATCCGTTTTCCCATTTTTTGTGTGGTAAAATTATCCAATTCCCAAAACGCCAGGCGTGTTCTACCTTTGACAGGAGACGCTCCGATGTAGCTTCCATTCGTCCCGTGCCCGTCTCACCTGCTGGAACCGATACGTGTGCATGCCGACCGTCAGGGCCAAGTGCAGCAGGGACACGATCCCCAGGAACCTGTAGCTGGACCGGAAAGTCTGGTCTCCAGCAAAACCCAGGTAGCGAAGCTGCAACGTTGGGTCAAAGGAGACAAAATGGCCTATTTACTTATTTATCGTGTCAGGAGTGAACCAAAACAGTTGTATTACATTAAAAACAAACAAACAAAACACAAAGTTTGCAGACCTGGTATATTCTATTAAGTGTATTTACTCCTGCCTGCTCTTTGTACTGAATCGGGTCCTTGTAGTTGGGTTGACCCTTGTAGTTGGGTTGACCCTTGTTGTTGGGTTGAGCCTTGTTGTTGGGTTGAGCCTTGTTGTTGGGTTGACCCTCGCTGTTGGATTGACCCTTGCTATTGGGATGACCCTTGCTGTTGGGTTGACCCTTGCTGTTGGGTTGGCTCTTGTTGTTGGGTTAACCCTTGCTGTTGGATTGACCCTTGTTGTTGGGTTAACCCTTGTTGTTGGGTTTACCCTTACTGTTGGGTTGACCCTTGCTGTTGGGTTGACCCTTGTTGATGGGTTGACCCTTGCTGTTGGGTTGACCCTTGCTGTTGGGTTGGCCCTTGTTGTTGGGTTGACCCTTGCTGTTGGGTTGACCCTTGTTGTTGAGTTGAGCCTTGCTGTTGGGTTGACCCTTATTACTGGGTTGGCTCTTGTTGTTGGGTTAACCCTTGCTGTTGGGTTGACCCTTGTTGTTGGGTTAACCCTTGTTGTTGGGTTGACCCTTGTTGTTGAGTTGACCCTTGCTGTTGGGTTGACCCTTGTTGATGGGTTGAGCCTTGCTGTTGGGTTGACCCTTGCTGTTGGGTTGAGCTTGGCTGTTGGGTTAACCCTTGTTGTTGGGTTGACCCTTGCTGTTGAGTTGACCCTTGCTGTTGGGTTGACCCTTGTTGTTGGGTTGACCCTTGCTGTTGATGTTAGTTTTCTAAGATCTACAGAGACCCTCGCTGGAACACCTCAGCAAGCGAGAGTCCAAAAGTGGCAGGCTCAAACCTCAATCCATGGCTGATACCAAATGAGAGACTCCCCCCTGGGCACACAGAAGACTGGGCGACTTGGAAGGCGCTGAACAGACTGCGCTCTGGCCCCACGAGATGCAGAGCCAACCTTCAGAAATGGGGCCACAAAGTGGAATCCTCGACATGCGAGTGTGGAGAGGAGCAAACCACTGACCACCTGCACCCTGAGCCCTGCGACACGCACAAGGGAGGACCTTGCGGCAACACCAGAGACACTCCAAGGGGCCATATACTGGTCAAAGGACATTTAATCAACTACCAAGCTTGCAAAATTTGTGTTTTGTCTGTCTGTTTGTTTGTTTGTTTGTGTTGTTAAAAATGTAATACAAATAAATAAATAAATAAATAAATTTGAAAAGAGCCAGTTTTTGCTTTTGTTTTTTGTGAATGCTCCCATTAGAAATTGCATAAGGAGGTGCATGAGCTACAATTCCCAGAATCATGTTGGGTCTGTGTGCCAAGTTGTCTTGTGTTTCAAATAACAACAACAACAACAATAATAATTTTATTTTTACCTCGCCCTCTCTCCCCGAGGGGACTCAGGGAGGCTTCGTAAAAACAAAATGGCAAACTTTCAATGCCATGTGCATTACGTGAAAAAAGCCAATTTTGGAGCCAAAAAACCAAACAGTGGGGTGCAATGATTATAACATGAATTATGATGTTTCCTCTAAGAAGGGAAGCTACTCACATACGTGATTCCCGTCATCCTCTTCGAGAGGTGATAGAAGAGACCGTTCATGTAAAAGATGGCCAAGTGCAACCTGCGCAGAAGCGGGAGGCTTTGCTTGAGGACGTAGACCCACTGCCCAAGCACTTTCCTCTGCTGCTCGGTCAACGCACCCAGCTGTTGCCGCAACCAACCCTGGACAAACGTCCTCCTTCGCCATCCGCCCGACTGCCGGCTCTGCAAAGGCCTCGTCTCGTCCGATTCTACCTCCAGCTCATGCTCCAGGTGCATTAGGCCTTTGTCCAATGCGTAAGGCAAGACCGCGTGCAAGGCGATCAGAGCGACCCGTCGAAGCACCGAAGGGACTCGCCGTCCTGAGGCGTCCACTTGAATAATACCGACATACTCTTCCCCAAGAGTTTGGAAACCTAGAGGAACACACAAAAGGAACCAATGGGAATTCTGAAGAAGTCAGAAACAAATAATAACAACAACAACAACAATAACAATAGATCACATCCTCAGCTGCTGCAAGAAGATCGCGTAGACAGAGTCCAAGCAGAGGCACAACGTCCTTGCTCGGGTGATTCACTGGAACTTGTGCCACAAACACCATCAAAGCAAGAATTGAAAAGTCGACAACAGATCCCAAGTGTGGGCTCTGCAAAGAAGCAGCACATCCTCAGCTGCTGCAAGGAGATCACGCAGACAGACTCCAAGCAGAGGCACAACACTTGGGAAGTGTCCGACGTGTGATCCAGTACAACAGCCAACAGAGTGTCTGCTGTGGACTCATCTTGTTGTGTTTCTAATAATAATAATAATAATAATAATAATAATAATAATAATAATAATAGTACAACAGCCAGCAGAGTAATCTTGTCTGCTGTGGACTCATCTTGTTGTGTTTCAAATAACAACAACAACAACAATCCTAGACACTTGGGAAGGGTCCGACATATGATATAATATGATATGATTCAAATGATAATAATAATAATAACAACAACAGTCCTAAACACTTGGGAAGGGTCCGACATATGATATAATATTATATGATTCAAATGATAATAATAATAACAACAACAACAACAACAACAGTCCTAGACACTTGGGAAGGGTCCGACATATGATATAATATGACATGATTCAAATGATAATAATAATAATAACAACAACAACAGTCCTAAACACTTGGGAAGGGTCCGACATATGATATAATATTATATGATTCAAATGATAATAATAACAACAACAACAACAACAACAACAATCCTAGACACTTGGGAAGGGTCCGACATATGATATAATATGACATGATTCAAATGATAATAATAATAATAACAACAACAGTCCTAAACACTTGGGAAGGGTCCGACATATGATATAATATTATATGATTCAAATGATAATAATAATAACAACAACAACAACAACAACAACAGTCCTAGACACTTGGGAAAGGTCCGACATATGATCCAATTCAACAGCCAGCAGAGTGTCTGCTGTGGACTCATCTTGTTGTGTTTCAAATAATAATAACAACAGTCCTTATTATTATTATTATTGACACAAAAGCACAATATGTCACAGCAAACGAGATCTATATGCTGGATTTCGCATCACAAAATCACAAGTCTAACACTTCCCTTCAACTGTGTGATGCTGTTGTTGTTGTTATTATTATCCATGCAGAGGAACTTTGTTGTCCGTAGACGTCCTCTCGATCGAATTGCCAGCATGTCCTTAAGGGCACATTTTATTACCTCCTCGCTTAAAGCGGTACCTATTTATCTACTCACATTGCTGTTTTTGATCTGCTAGGTGAAGCTGGGCTGGCGGCGGGAGCTCACCCTGACCTGGGCATGAAATGCCAATCTTTCGATCGGCAAGATTTTCTGCAACCCGCTGTGCTAAAGCCCGGGCCAAATGTCAAGAAAGCAGCAAGCAAGCCTAGACCGATTGGCGGAATTACCTGAAAGGGTCGTAAGAGTGAAATAGGCCACGTCAGCAAGCAGCTCAATCTCCTTCTGCCACGCCAGCCACGTTTTGGCACCTGGGGACAGCCAAGAACAAAGGAGGGAACTGAGATCCCACTCTGCCGCTGATTCGAGAGAGGAATCTAATGCTATGTTTTTATGTAAACAATACTAAAAATGACAATTAGAACAAAGAGTCCTCAAATTATAGACAAAAGAGGTCTAAAGGCTTTCCCTGGGGGGTGACGCTCCTCTGGGGGGTGATGCTCCTCTCCATTTCTATGCCGAAGAGTCGGCATCATCCATAGACACCTCCAAGGTCATGTGGCCAGCATGACTATACAGAGCACCTTTCCCTTCCCGCAGAAGCGGTACCTACTGATCTACCCACATTTGCATATTTCGAACTGATAGATTTTCAGGAGCTGGGGCTAACAGCGGGAGCTCACCCCTCTCCCCAGATGTGAACTGCCGACCTTTTGGCCAGCAAATGCAGCAGCTCAGCGGTTTAACCCTTTTGTAAGGTTAGATATTCCTTAATATTGTTGCTTAATGTCATAGATAGTCTAACTATGGATATGGAGGACAAAATGTATGGCGCTAAAGATAGAAATGGAAGCTACTGAATAGGAAATAAATCAGAAGGCTGACACTTCAAGCTTCGTTAGGCCACCCTAGAGTGAAGCCAATTCACTTCCTGCTTCATCTCAAATATTTGTATTCTAACATGATGTGATGGTCCCGTCTACACTGCCATATAATACAGTTTGAAACTGCATTAAATGCCCTGTGTCAGCGGATATAATGCAGTTTAACATCCTGATGTTCGGCAGTGAAGTAATATGTGATGTTTTCCTTTTTCTATGGCCCTGTCTATGCTGCCATATAATGCAGTTTCAAACGACATTGTATGAGTCTGTTGCACTTAAATGCATTATGAGTCTATTTCACAGAACCGTATTATGAGCCTATTGTACTAAACTACATATCTGAGTGCTGAACTGAACTGCCTTGAATCTACTGCATTGAATTACATATCTGAGCCTATTGCACTTAACTACAAATCTGAGCCTATTGTAAATAACTACATATTCGAGTCAATTGCACATAACTATATTTCTGAGTCTATTGCAGTACACTACATATCTGAGTCTATTGAACTGAACTGCATTGAATTGCATATCTGAGCCTATTTCACTAAGCTAAATATCTGAGTCTATTGAACTGAACTGCATTGAATCTAGTGCATTGAATTTCATATGAGTCTATTGCAACAAACCACATTACGAGTCTATTACACTGAACTGCATTATTAGTGTACTGCACATAACTCCATTATGAGTCTATTGTGCATACTGCATGAGTCTTATGCAATAAACTCCATTATTAGTCTACTTCACAGAACTGTGTTGAGTCTATTACACTGAACTGCATTATGTGTCTACTGAACCACTCCATTATGAGTCTACTGCACTGAACTGCATTATGAGTTTATTGTACAAAACTCCATTATGAGTCTACTTTGCAGAACTGCATTGTGTCTATTACACTGAACTGCATTATGAATCTATTGCACTAACTCCATTATGAGTCTATTGCACTTAACTCCATTATTAGTCTACTTCAGAGAACTGCGGAGTCTACTACACAAAACTCAATGCATTAGGAGTCTATTTAACAGAACTGAATAATGAGTCTATTTCATTGAACTGCATTGAGTCTATTATACTGAACTGCATGATCTACTGCACATCACTCCATTATGAGTCTATTGAGCATACTGCATTATGAATCTATTGCGCTCACTCCATTATGAGTCTATTGCACTTAACTCCATTATTAGTCTACTTCACAGAACTGCCTTGTGAGTCTATTGCACAGAACTGCCTTGTGAGTCTACTGCACCTCACTCCATTCTGAGTCTATTGCGCAATGCATTAGGAGTCTATTTCACAGAACTGAATAATGAGTCTATTTCATTGAACTGCGTTGAGTCTATTTCATTGAACTGTGTTGAGTCTATTATACTGAACTGCATGATCTACTGCACATCACTCCATTATGAATCTATTGCAATGAACGCCATTATTAATCTATTTCATGGAACTGCATTGTGTCTACTAAACTGAACCGCATCATGAGTCTACTGCATATCACTCCATTGTGTGTCTATTGTGCAAACTGCATTAGGAGTCTATTGCACAAACTGAATTATGAGTCTATTTTACTGAACCACATCATGAGACTATTTGACAGAACTAATTAATTATGTAATATGTTAGGTTGTTAACTGTTTTTTACACAGTAGCATTGAATTTTTGCTGTTCTTATTTGTTGTGAACCGCTGTGAGTCGCCTTCGGGCTGAGAACAGCAGTATAGAAGTAAAGTAAAGTAAAGTAAAGTAAGTAAAGAACTGCATTATGAATCTATTACATAGTGTCTATTGCACAAAACAGTATTACGAGTCTATGGCAATGATCTTTAATGCAATGATCTGCATTATTAGACCATATTAGACCGTACCTTGGGAAGTCTGACTTGGCCACGGTAGTCCACGCTCTGGTTACATCCCGGATTGATTACTGCAACGCGCTCTACGTGGGGTTGCCCTTGAAGACTGCCCGGAAGCTTCAGATGGTCCAGCGCTCGGCAGCCAGGTTGCTAACGGGAGCGGCACTCAGGGAGCATACCACTCCTCTGCTGAGCCAGCTCCACTGGCTGCCAATCCGCTACCGGGCACAATTCAAGGTGCTGGCTTTAGCCTATAAAGCCCTAAACGGTTCTGGCCCTGCTTACCTCTCCGAACGCATCTCCACCTATGAACCGACGAGGACGTTAAGATCGTCCGGGGAGGCCCTCTCTCGATCCCGCCTGCATCACAGGCGCGCTTGGCGGGGACGAGACAGGGCCTTCTCAGTGGTGGCCCCTCGGCTATGGAATGCCCTACCGGCAGACATCAGGCAGGCACCTTCGCAGCTGACGTTTCGGAGAATGGTTAAGACCTGGCTCTATGAACAAGCGTTTGGTTAAGCAGTGCAACCAATCATAGGAAGACGGTAAATGGAACATAGGAATGGCACAAGGATTATGAGAACGGATCTGATTTCAACTGAGGCGTTATGTTATGTCTGTTTTGTTGATCTGTCTTGTTGATTGTTAACTGTTGTGGATTGATGTTGTTGATCCTGTTTGTTGCTTTGTTATGTTTTAATTGCACTGACACTGTTTGATAATTGTACCATGTAAACCGCATTGAGTCGCCTGTTAAGGGCTGAAAAATGCGGTATAGAAATAAAGCAAAATAAATAAATAAATATTACATATTGTCTATTGCACGAAACAGTATTATGAGCCTATGGCAATGATCTTTCATGCAATGATCTGCATTATTAGACCATATTATATATAATATCTATAATCCAAACTGTATTATATGGCAGACTTGAAAGAGGGAAGCGTATGCATTTAAATACATGTTTATTATGTTGATTTTCCATTCTGTTCCCTTGTTGACATTGTAGGCGTGTAAACAGACACTCTCAGGCTCCCTTTGGAGAGAGAGAAGAATGCATCCCATCCAATCAGGGCCTGCCTTGGGTTGATCCCCTCCCCCCTCCCCCAGGAGAGGCTTTGAGGCCTATGGCTGCGTCTGCGCTTCGGAACTGACCCAGTTTGATCCCGCTTTAACTCCCAAAGGCCTGTGTCGTGGGATCCTAGGAGTCCTAGCTCAGCCCAAAGCGTGCTGGGCCTCTCCCAACTACAGAGCCCACGATTACATAGCACTGAGCGGTGGAGGTTAGCGCGGTATCAAACTGCGTTAAATTCCACCGTGTGGACGCAGCTTGGGTGTCTGTCTCTCTCTCTCTCTCTCACCGGCCAGGCTGCCCAGAGAGGCCCCGGCGCCGCTCCTCAGCGCTGCCCGGTAGAGCTCGTCCTTCTGAGCCGAGCGAACCAGGCAAGCCGGGCCGGCCTCCCTGGACGGCGCCATTGTGGGCCGGAGCTTCTTCTCAGGAGCCGCGCATGCGCAGCACTCTGACGTCGCCTCTCAAGGAGTCAGGCATGCGCAGTAGCGGGAAGTTCAGCCCAGGCAAGAGCCTTGGTCACTGTGCGCATGCGCAAGAGCGGGGAGTTTAGCCCCTCGAGCTTTTTCTCAGCAACGGCGCATGCGCAGGACTCTAACGTCACCGCTCAGGAAGTCAGGCATGCGCAGTAGCGGGGAGTTCAGCCCAGGCAAGAAGAGCCTTGGTCACTGTGCGCATGCGCGCGAGCGGGGAGTTCAGTCCCCGAGCTTCTTCTTAGCAACGGCGCATGCGGAGAACTCTGACGTAATCGCTCAGGAAGTCAGGCATGCGCAGTAGCGGGAAGTTCAGTCCAGGGAGGAAGCGCCTTGGTTACTGTGCGCATGCGCGCAAGCGGCGAGTTCAGTTCACCGAGCTTCTTCTCAGCAACGGCGCATGCGCAGGATTCTGACGTCATCTCTCAGGAAGTTAGGCATGCGCAGTAGCGGGGAGTTCAGCCCAGGCAAGAAGAGCCTTGGTCACTGTGCGCATGCGCGCAAGCGGCGAGTTCAGTCCCCGAGCTTCTTCTCAGCAACTGCGCATGCGGAGAACTCTGACATCACCCCGCAGGAAGTCAGGCATGCGCAGTAGCGGGGAGTTCAGCCAAGGCAGGAAGAGCCTTGGTCACTGTGCGCATGCGCCCGGGCGGGAAGTTCAGCCCAGGCAAGAAGAGCCTTGGTGGTCACTGTGCGCATGCGCGGCGCGGCTTTCTCCTCTGCAGGCCTTGCAACCATAACAAACCAAAAGGCAAACCTGGAAGTCATGGCTTTTCTCATATTCAGGATGGATTTAAAGCAGGCCCGGGCAAACTTCGGCCCTCCAGTCCAATTCTGGACCACACAATTGAAGGGAGATGTTGACTCTAAGCTGGAATGTGTCCAGAGGAGGGAGACTCAAATGATCAAGGGTCTGGAGAACAAGCCCTATGAGGAGCGGCTTAAGGAGCTGGGCATGTTTAGCCTGAAGAAGAGAAGGCTGAGAGGAGACATGATGAGCCATGTATAAATATGTGAGAGGAAGCCACAGGGAGGAGGAGGAGGGAGCAAGCTTCCTTTCTGCTTCCCTGGAGACTAGGACGCAATGGAACAATGGCTTCAAACTACAAGAGAGGAGATTCCATCTGAACATGAGGAAGAACTTCCTGACTGTGAGAGCCGTTCAGCAGTGGAACTCTCTGCCTCGGAGGGAGTGTGGTGGAGGCTCCTTCTTTGGAAGCTTTTAACAGAGGCTGGATGGCCATCTGTCAGGGGTGATTTGAATGCAATATTCCTGCTTCTTGGCAGAATGGGGTTGGACTGGATGGCCCACGAGGTCTCTTCCAACTCTTTGATTCTATGATTCTAATTCCTAACTACCAGTGAAGGTCATAAACCATCAGCGGACAGACGTGAAGAACAGAAACCGAAAGAGATAGGCACTAATACAAACTGCAGCTGGAAGGAAGTTTATCTCTGGCACTCCCTAATCTTTCACCGAGCAAGAACTCAGGGTCACATTCTCACAGCTTGTGACTTTGCTGTTTTAACCCTTCTGTGTCAAACTACATCCTGGCAATACAATTCTGTTACCATCACAATCCTATCACATAAAATTACATTTAAACATATATCATACATGAATTACACACTGACACTTCTCACCCTGAAGGGGACACAGGGCAGATCGCAGAACACATACACGTCAAACATTCAATGCCGTTAAACAGACAGGACAGACAACAGATAGAGGTATTATGTCGGCATGTTTTTCCCCAACTTCAACGTCCTGGAGGTTGTGCTTGATTCCGGCCACAGGGAGTGCTGTTGCTCCATCCTCTATGACGAAGAGCCCTTGATCACTAATTTCCTTCTTCCTTTGATTGCATTTTTTTGGTATTTCTTTTATGATGCCATAAAATACCTCCCCGTTTAACCGGTGCCTAATTTCTCTACTCACCGCTTACACTTGTTTTGAAACTACTTAGGTGGACAGTGAGCTGGGCTGAAGGTCGGGTGCTCACCCTGACCCGACCTTCGAACTTCCAACCTTTTGATTGGTGTGATCTCTTGCTGCTGGTTATTAACCAGCTGTGCTAAAGCCCAGAATACACCCGACAGAGCCTGATATTAAGTCTCCCATCTAAATATGAACCAAATTCAGCTTCCGTATCCACAAAGAATGGCCAAGTCCAACAACAAATGCTTACCACAACATCCAGAAAAGCGTCCCTCGGCCAGGATTCAGTAGATAGAGAGGGAGTGGCGAAACCCTGGCAAAATGTGAGCAGCTTGGTTGCAAAGAACTTTCTTCTTTTATTATTACCTATCTTGTGTACCTGGTGTTGCCTGCGTAATGTGAAAAAGTCAATTTAAAAATTGTACACAATGCACAAGGTTGTGGGTGAACTACAACTCCCATCATGCCACGTTACTCCCAAAAGACTCCACCCGTACTTAAAGTTTGGTATGTTGGGCAAGTTTGCTCTAGATGCATCATCAGTGGGGTTCCGTGTGCTCTCTGGCTGTAGGGTAAACTATAACTCCCACGTAAGTGAGTCACTTACCTCAAACCTCTCTAGTAGGTTGAGATACTCATAGATGTTCCAGGTCCATCATCAGTGGAAATCACAGTTTTTCTGTGATTTTGAGGTTGTGGATGAACTACAACTCCCATCATGCCAGGTTAGCCCTCAAAAACATCATTCGTACTTAAAGTTTGTTATGTTGGGCAAGTTTTCTCTAGATGCATCATCGGTGCTCTCTGGCTGTAGAGTAAACTACCACTGTGGTCAGCAAGTCCCCTTAAACTCCTCCAATGAGTTGAGTTACTCATGGGGGTTCCAGGTCCACCATCAGTGGAGGTCACAGTTTCTCTGTTTGTGGGTGAACTACAGCTCCCAGAAAGGAAGGCCAGTTTCTTCTGAATCCTTCCAGTAATCAAATTTTGACATATCAGGTACATGTACCAACCCCTCTATTAGGTTGAGATAGTCATGGGGGTTCCAGGTCCACCATCAGTGGAGGTCACAGTTTCTCTGTTTGTGGGTGAACTACAGCTCCCAGAAAGGAAGGCCAGTTTCCTCTGAATCCTTCCAGTAACCAAATTTCAGCATATTAGGCGTGTGTGTCAAGTTTGGTCCAGATCCATTGGTGTTTGGGTTCACAGTGCTCTCTGGATGTAGGTGAACTACAACTTCCCCAAATCAAGGTGAATTTTCCCAAAGACCACCAGTATTTTTTACTGGTCATGGGAGTTCTGTGTGCCAATTTTGGTCCAATTCCATCTTTGGTGGAGTTCAGAATGCTCTTTGATTGTAGGTGAACTATACATCCCAGTAACTACAAATCCAAAATGCCCAAGCCAATTCCCCTCAAAACCCAGAAGTTTTCAAATTTGGGCATATTGTGTATGCATGCCAAGTTTGGTCCAGAAAAGAATAGGAAAGGATTAAGGGAGAGGCAGTGGGCGGGGTCATAAACACTCCACACCAATGGAGAGAGTCAGAAGCACTGGGATGCCCGTGGTGGAGGAAACACATAAAATCTGTGATGGAATTGTCCTCATATGAAAGCCTTCCCTTGGGTGGTGGGCAGTGTGGTGTTGGTGGAGGACATTGGCAGGGCTCGTGGACATGTTTATGGCGCTCACTCTAACCTGCAATGTCATGGGAAGGAGGGCCATTGGTGTCTCCTGAGGAGTGGGAGATAGAGCTGTTTGTAGAAGTGGGTCACTGTTATTATTTGGATAGATAGATAGATAGATAGATAGATAGATAGATAGATAGATAGATATGGCATTTTTAAAAATTAAACCTGTCTTCTCTGAAAGAACACTAGATGGTGAGCTTGTACCAAACAATAACTTGAGCTCACATCGAGGAAGCTGTGCTGGCCTGTCATGAGATTTTGGAATCCTAGAATCAAAGAGTTGGAAGAGACCTCATGGGCCATCATCCAGTCCAACCCCATTCTGCCAAGAAGCAGGAATATTGCAGTCAAAGCACCCCTGACAGATGGCCATCCAGCCTCTGTTTCAAAGCTTCCAAATAAGGAGCTTCCACCACTCTCCAGGGAAGAGAGTTCCACTGCTGAACGGCTCTCACAGTCAGGAAGTTCTTCCTTGTGTTCAGATGGAATCTCCTCTCTTGTAGTTTGAAGCCATTGTTCCGCGTCCTAGTCTCCAGGAAGCAGAAAACAAGCTTGCTCCCTCCTCCCTGTGGCTTCCTCTCACATATTTATACATGGCTATCATATCTCCTCTCAGCCTCCTCTTCTTCAGGCTAAACATGCCCAGCTCCTTAAGCCGCTCCTCATAGGGCTTGTTCTCCAGACCCTTGATCATTTTAGTCGCCCTCCTCTGGACACATTCCGGCTTGTCAATATCTCTCTTGAATTGTGGTGCCCAGAATTGGACACAATATTCCAGGTGTGGTCTAACCAAAGCGGAATAGAGCATGGGGAGCATCTTCCCTAGATCTAGACACTAGGCTCCTCTTGATGCAGGCCAAAATCCCATTGGCTTTTTTTTGCTGCCACATCACATTCCTGGCTCATGTTTAACTTGTTGTCCACGAGGACTCCAAGATCTTTTTCACACGTCCTGCTCTCGAGCCAGGCCTCATCGTCCCCCATTCTGTCTCTTTGCATTTCGTTTTTCCTGCCAAAGTGGAGTATCTTGCATTTGTCCCTGTTGAACTTCATTTTGTTAGTTTTGGCCCATCTCTCTAATCTGTCAAGCTCGTTTTGAATCCTGCTCCTGTCCTCTGGAGTATTGGCTCTCCCTCCCCATTCTGTATCTTTGCATTTCGTTTTTCCTGCCAAAGTAGAGTATCTTGCATTTGTCACTGTTGAACTTCATTTTGTTAGTTTTGACCCATCATCTCTCTCATCTGTCAAGATTGTTTTGAGTCCTTCTCCTGTCCTCTGGAGTATTGGCTATTGTCAATACGGTGTCATCTGCAAACTTGATGATCCTGCCTTCTAGCCCTTCATCTAAGTCATGAATGGAGATCCTGATCAGGACCAGGCCCAGGATGGAACCCTGCTTGTGGCACTCCACTCGTCCCTTCTTTCCAGGATGAAGAGGAGGAAGCCTTGGGGAGAATCACCCTCTGGGTTCATCTATTTAACTAATTCCAGATCCACCTCACCGTAGTTGTGCCTCGCCCAGATTGGACTAGTTTCCTTGCCAGAAGGTCATGGGGGACCTTGTCAAAGAAGGCCTTCCTGAAATCCAGACACGCTCCATCCACGGCATTCCCTGCATCTACCCAGCTTGTGACTCTATCAAAAAAAGAGACCAGATGTTGCTACACTGCATCGTCCTGGACCATGCCAGCTACATGCCCAAAGCATCCGTATGCATGCAAAGAATGCACTCTAGGCATTCAACGGAAAAGAATCGGCGCAGGCCCGAACGGCCCGCTCAGTCTGGGCGTTGTGCTTGCTAATGGTTAACCTGACCGCCCACGTTCACCCTCTTTGCCTCGTTGCCAGCTCCTTGGCGTACGAGAAGGCAGGGAGTGTGGCACCACAATCAAGCTGTAAACAATTTGCCTTCAGTTTCCAACTTGAAGAACAAGTTCTCCTTTGTAACAAAAGCAGCGGCAAAGAGAAGGAAAGACGGAGCGCACCGAGTCCACTTTGTGCACTTTGCCCTCCTCCGATTGAAGTTGTGTTACCTTGGAGCCGAGGACGATCCAGAGTCGCCGTGGAGTCTCCGATCCCTTCTCCATACAAGGGAGGAGCGTGTACATTTCTATATGGAAGATATCATGGACGCCGCAAGACGTGGACGCCACACGAGCTCTGCAAAGAAAGAGCATGAAAAGTGAGGTATGTGCTCTGTAGATTTCCTCCACTCTTCTCTGTTTTGTTTTGTTTTGTTTTAACATATCGTTCCGGCGTCTCCTGTGCTTCGGAGCAAGTTTGGCAACCTCGAACAAGCTCCTACAAGAAGAGCTCTGAAGCTTTTACGGTTGCAACAGAACTTCCCGTCTCCCTTGGCCTTTCCTCTCAATTGCTGGGGGAAGCAGATCAGGAGGGACCGTCAAGCACCTGGACGTCTCGTCGTCTTGGTATTCGGCACGTGCTGGTTCTTGCTCAAGCGGATAGGGAGCTTAAAGCGTTGCAAACGTTGGGCTTCTCTTTGTCGGCAAATGAAAAGGTCGCTTGGGTGGAATGTTTTGTCCTTAAAGTACTCCCTGCTCTGCTTTCCTTGCAGGGAAGCCGTCGCTTGAGTTGGAAATCCAACTGTTTTGGAACCGTCCGCTTTCAAGAACATCCTTCCAGCCGCAGAGCAGTGTAGGTAAGGGGATACTTTCTTCTGAATTGTCACCCATTCTGACACCAAAGAGGGGCCAACTTTCTGTTCAAAGCTGGCAACAGGAGGAGCGTGTTGCCGCAGGATCTAGCAAAGTAATGTGAGTCCGCACAGCGCGGTGTTGCCATAAAGGCAGAGCGGTTGGTGGTTTTGAGTCCATGTGGCGATTCAAGCACTGCCTCTTTTCTTAAAACTTTTATTATAATCTATATCAATAAAAATGTCATGTTCAATGTATTGTCGAAGGCTTTCATGGCTGGAATCGCTAGGTTCTTGTGTGTTTTTTCGGGCTATAGAGCCATGTTCTAGAGCAGTGATTCTCAACCTTCTGAATGTTGCGACCCCTTAATGCAGTTCCTCATATTGTGGTGACCCCCAACCATAATATTGTTTTCGTTGCTACTTCATAACAGTCATTTTACTACTGTTATAAATCATAATGTAAATATCTGATATGCAGAATGCATTTTCATTCACTGGACCAAACTGGGCACAAATACCCAATACACCCAAATGTGAATGCTAGTGGGGTTGGGGGAGATTGATTTTGTAATTTGGGAGTTGTAGTTGCTGGGATTTATAGTTCACTTATAATCAAAGAGCATTCTGAACTCCACCAGGGATGGATTTGAACCAATCTTGGCTCCCATGACCAATGGAAAGCACTGGAAGGGTTTGATGGGCATTGACCTTGAGTTTGGGAGTTGTAGTTCACCTATATCCAGAGAGCACTGTGAACTCATTTAATGGTTGATCTGGACCAAACTTGGCATGAATACTCAATATGCCCAAATGTGAACACTGGTGGAGTCTGGGGGAAAAATAGATCTTGACATTTGGGAGTTGTAGTTGCTGGGATTTATAGTTCATTACAATCAAAGAACATTCTGAACTCCACCAACGATAGAATTGGCTCAACTTCCCACATGGAATCCCCATGACCATCAGAAAATACTGTGTTTTCTATGGTCTTTGGCGACCCCTCTGACACCCCCTCGCGACCCCCTCAAGGGTCCCGACCCCCAGGTTGAGAAACACTGTTCTAGAGGCATTTCTCCTGACGTTTCGCCTGCATCTATGGCAAGCATCCTCAGAGGTAGTGAGGTCTGTTGGAAGTAGGACAATGGGTTTATATATCTGTGGAATGGCCGGGGTGGGGCAAGGAGCTCTTCCCTGCTGCAGTTAGGTGTGAATGTTTAGCTGATCACCTTCATTAGCATTTGAAGGCCTGCCTGAGCCTGGGAAAATCTCTTGCTGGGAGGTGTTAATCTGTGCCTGGTTTTTTCCTCTCTGCTGTTTTTGCTGTTGCAATTTTAGAATTTTTTAATGCTGGTAGCCAGATTTTGTTCATTTTCATGGTTTCTTCCTTTCTGTTGAAATTGTCCACATGCTTGTGGATTTCAGTGGCTTCTCTGTGTAGTCTGACATGGTGGTTGTTGGTGTGGTCCAGCATTTCTGTGTTCTCAAATAATATGCTGTGTCCAGGCTGGTTCATCAGGTGCTCTGCTATGGCTGACTTCTCTGGTTGAAGTAGTCTGCAGTGCCTTTCATGTTCCTTGATGCGTGTCTGGGCAATGCTGCTGCGTTTGGTGGTCCCTCTGTAGACTTGTCCACAGCTGCATGGTATACAATGGTAGACTCCTGCAGAGGTGAGAGGATCCCTCTTGTCCTTTGCTGAACGTAGCATTTGTTGGATTTTCTTGGTGGGTTTGTAGATTGTTTGTATGTTGTGTTTCCTCCTCAGCTTCCCTCTGCGGTCAGTGGTTCCCTTGATGTCTGGCAGGAACACTTTTCCTCTGGGTGGATCTTCATCTTGACTCTCGTGGCTTGTTCATTTTGTTCATGAAAATGAACAAAATCTGGCTACCAGTATTAAAAAACTCTAAAATTATAACAGCAAAAACAGCAGAGAGGAAAAAACCAGGCACAGATTAACACCTCCCAGCAACAGATTTCCCAGGCTCAGGCAGGCCTTCAAATGCTAATGAAGGTGATCAGCTAAACATTCACACCTAACTGCAGCAGGGAAGAGCTCCTTGCCCCACCCCAGCCATTCCACAGATATATAAACCCATTTTTCTACTTCCAACAGACCTCACTACCTCTGAGGATGCTTGCCATAGATGCAGGCGAAACGTCAGGAGAAATGCCTCTAGAACATGGCTCTATAGCCCGAAAAAACACACAAGAACCTAATGTAATGTTTGTTTGTGGGATTAACATAACCCAAAAACCACTGGAGGAATTGACACCAAATTTGGACACAAGACACCTAACAGTCCAATCTATGTCCTTCACTCAAAAAAAAAAAAGATTTTGTCATTTGGGAGTTGTAGTTGCTGGGATTTATAGTTCAGCTGCACTCAAAGAACATTCTGAACTCCTCCAATGATGAAATTGAACCAAACATGGCATACAGGACTTCCATGAGCAACAGAAAACACTAGAAGGGTTTGCTGGGCATTGACCTTGAGTTTGGGAGTTGTAGTTCACCTACATCCAGAGAGCACTGTGGACTCAAACCATGATGGATCTGGACCAAACTTGGCACCAATACTCATTATGAACACTGGTGGAGTTTGGGGAAATAGACCTTGACATTCGGGAATTGTTGTTGCTGCGCTTTATAGTTCACCTACAATCAAAGAACATTCTGAACCCCACCAACGATAGAATTGAACCAAACTTGGCACACTGTTCTCCCATGACCAACAGAAAATACTGGAAGGGTTTGGTGGGTATTGACCTTGAGTTTCGGATTTGTAGTTCAACTACATCCAGAGAGCACTGTGGACTCGAACCGTGATGGATCTGGACCAAACTTGACACGAATACTCAACATGCCCAAATGTGGACACTGGTGGAGTTTGGGGAAAATAGACCTCGACATTTGGGAATTGTTCTTGCTGAGATTTATAGTTCAGCTGCACTCAAAGAGCATTCTGAACTCCTCCAATGATGGAACTGAACCAGGACTTCCATGAGCAACAGAAAACACTAGAAGGGTTTGGTGGGCATTGACCTTGAGTTTGGGAGTTGTAGTTCATCTACATCCAAAGAGCACTGTGGACTTGAACCATGATGGATCTGGACCAAACTTGGCACAAATACTCAAATATGAACACTGGTGGAGTTTGGTGAAAATGGACCTTGACATTTGGGAATTTTTGTTGCTGGGATTTATTGTTCAGCTGCACTCAAAGAGCATTCTGAACTCCTCCAATGATGGAATTGAACCAAACATGGCATACAGGACTCCCCTGACCAACAGAAAACACTAGAAGGGTTTGGTGGGCATTGACCTTGAGTTTTGGAGTTGTAGTTCACCTACATCCAGAGAGCACTGTGGACTCAAACAATGATGGATCTGGACCAAACTTGGCACAAATATTCCATATGCCCAAAATGAACACAGATGGAGTTTGGGGGAAATAGACCTTGACATTTGGAATTTGTAGTTGCTGGGATTTATAGTTCTACTGCAATAAAAGAGCATTCTGAACTCCTCCAATGATGGAATTGAACCAAACATGGCATACAGGACTCCCCTCAATGAAAAACACTGGAAGGGTTTGATGGGCATTGACCTTGAGTTTGGGAGTTGTAGTTCACCTACATCCAGAGAGCACTGTGGACTCAAACAATGATAGATCTGGACAAAACTTGGCAACAGAAAACACTAGAAGGGTTTGCTGGGCATTGACCTTGAGTTTGGGAGTTGTAGTTCACCTACATCCAGAGAGCACTGTGGACTCGAGCCATGATGGATCTAGACCAAACTTGGAACGAATACTCAATATAGAAGGGTTTGCTGGGCATTGACCTTGAGTTTGGGAGTTGTAGTTCACCTACATCCAGAGAGCACTGTGGACTCGAACCATGATGGATCTGGACCAAACTTGGAACGAATACTGCATATGCCCAAATATGAACATAGATGGAACTTGGGGGAAATAGACCCTGACATTTGGGAATTGTAGTTGGTGGGATTTATAGTTCAGCTGCAATCAAAGAGCATTCTGAACTCCTCCAATGATGGAATTGAGCCAAACTTGGCACACAGAACTCCCTTGACCAACAGAAAATACTGTGTCGCTTGCAGCATCCCTGGGTCGTTTCACACATTCACCTCTTTATTATGTCTTCTTGTTAGTGATCAAAATAATACAAAGCCCTATTCATTAATATCGCAGTGTTGGGTGGAAAAAAAAACCACTCTGCATTTTGCAAAATGCTATTTTATAAAAACCAGCTTGCTTTTCCAAGGCTTCCTTGTTATGGCTGCAAAATAATAATAAAAAGCAAACGCTTGCAAAGTTGCTAGCACAAGGCCGCAGTCCTTTTCTGCTTGCTAAGAAGACACGGGGAGTTTATACCCGCGTTGTTTTGCACACAGAGCAGCAACTTTCTCTCCGATACGAGGCTACAGAAATTGCCTTCCCAAGCTGATAGATGTAATTAATGCTGCCTTGGCACGCTCTCCAAATTAAGGAAGACATTAGCGCAGCACTCGATACCCAAATGCAGCTTGAGCAGATTTAATGGGGTTTTGTTGTTGCTAAGTTGCTCCGAGGCCACGAGCAAAACGAAGCCTTTTCACCTGGAGCCGCCTCATCTCTTCTCGTGTGATGAAGTCGCCTTCCGTTTGGCACTCGATCGGTGCTCCACATGCTGCCGACTCAGTTCAGAAAATAGTTTGAGCTCAATTAATTGGGGACAAATCTTGCCCTTTCCATTTAGTTCATGGAGAAGCAAGGTGCTACGGGTTCGGCATACATTTAACATCCCACTTGTTCTTCCATGCGGTTCCAAGTTTTGAATGTTGGTGGTTTTTTATGCCTAGTTTTGCCTTCCTCTTGGCACGCTTCTCCCTTTCACCCTCCATTTCTGCATCTTCAAATTCTGCAGCACTGCTGGTCACAGCTGACCTCCAGCTAGAACACTGAAGAGCCAAGGGTTCCCAGTTCTCGGTGTCTATGCCAGAG